TCTCCCAGGAAGGAGAGGGAGCTCCTGGACACATTACCACGGCTGTTGAAGGAGCGAGAGACTGGACCGGAGAACGGCAAAGGCTTAGAGCGACACTCAGACAGGAAAATTGAACCGCCTGAAGTACTGGTAGCAACTGTACTAACTGTATGTATCTTCTTCAAATAGGGCCTGGATCCCACCACCCAACCCTCCAAAAGTATCCAGTGGATGACCTTAGCTTGGGGATACCCAATGGAATTCAATTGACAATCCTTCTGAAAGGAGTGTTGTGTGAGGTTCTGTGCTTCTTTGTGGGGCCGGGATGCTGGGTCGACAAAGGTTCACGACCATGGTTTAAAGTTTAGCAAATGAGTGGGCATTTGAGTTTGGGCTGTTGAGTCGTTGGCAGGAGCAAAAATGGGACAGCGTGCGCTCGGTCCTGAAAGCAGGGAGGCCTACGTACATGGCTGGAAGTGGCTCTCCAATCCTTTTGCGGCTTTTGTTGTTTGTGATGTTGCCTGACGCCCTGTGGAAACCATGGAGGGACTCATGTTGATTTTTGACCTGCAAAACTGCAACATCGCGACTCTAGTGTGAGATAGTGTGAGATCTGGTGAGATCTCCCGTATAGTTCACAATACTCTTCAAAACATTGCACATTCAGCGGCAAAATGCACCGATGCAGACTCGAGCATGTCTGACTCGTTTGGTGCATGCTTTGTCCTACTAGTAGATTCTTTAGTCATCATGGAGTAGATAGACTGACAGAGGAAGGTCCCAACATGTGACCGTTGCACTTCTTGCGTTTTGGCTGGATGCAGCCTTCAGGTGCCTCCAGTCTCTTTTCTGTGGAACTTGGGCCTAGAGAAGAACACTCTGAAGAAGGTAGGGACGGTAGGGATCCTAATTGGACTTTTGATTGATTATATAGATCCTTCTTGCCCCCACCTAGGTTGTACTCCTGGTGGGGATAATTGGACAAAACAAAGACTGAGCCCAGCTATTTAGGATGACGCAGTGTTTTATTTTTGCGTTCTGTGTCATTTGCTTGTTTGTGGTAATTTTCTTTCATTGTCACTAGTCACCAGCAATCACCAAATGCCACCAAAGTGCGAGTGTATACCAGCTGTCTTGGAATCGAACGCCTGTCAATTTGGAAGACAAAAGACCACCTCTAGTCTAGTCGAACCTCGACTCCCTCTGTGTTTATCCGCAGTGCGCTCCAGTTGGGCGACAACTTGGGCGAAGTGCAAGTGCTTGAGCTCATGGACGACATTGCCTCGCTGGAAGCCTCAAAGAGCGGAGCCTTCATTCGAGGTCCAAGAACTCTGTAAAGGACATGTTACTAGTAGCTTCTTGTTACTAGTAGCGATGGCCTCCAACCTACTTGCAATGGCCTCCACCCAATAGCGTCTTGCCAGGGCATTTCTGGGGCCCTCGCAAATCAGGGGGTCCAGATTGGAGCCTCCTACTCCATACCATTTTGGACACTCGAACCATATCGTATCGGTGTCTAGAACTTGGAGTTCAACTCTGTTGCGTGTGTGTGTTGGGGGAGGGGCAAGTATATAATTGTTGATTTACTCGAGAAGGCTCCGAAACTGCACCTGTGATCCAAGCTCCCCCTGAGATTTGTTTCATGTAATCAGTGTCAACTTTTCAGAAACCAACCCGAGAAACAATGTTGCGCTCAATAAAACAAGCGTCTATATACCGTATATACGGTTGTATATGCATTAATGATACGCGAAAAGCGGCAAACAAAACACAATCAGGTTGGGGCAAACTTGCTTTCTCAACTCCCTCTACCACACCGTCACCAGTCACCAGGTTCCATAAAATAATATGATATATATTTTTGTTGTATAGAAAATAGCAATCGTAAACTTTGCTAAATGGATACTGAGAGGATAGGTTCGAGCAGTCGATGAGTGTTCGCTCAGCGCAGGGCGTTGCAGACCACGGATGAGATCACGTATGCAGACCTGCCACCAGTTGGGGAGGGCAGGAATGTTTGGGGACGAGGCAAGAGAAGCTGACATGGACACTGGACAGCAGAGAACTGGACAATCACCTGTGCCACAAAGAATTGTAACAAAACAATCAAAACCAAGGAAGATCCCAGCCGAGCCGGCCGATTTGTGCTGCTTGCCAGTCGAATGTTTACGTCTATGGCCAGCCTGGTGAGGGGAAGGCTCGGCATCAGAGCGGAGTCAACTTCTCAGAGCAACAAATCTAATAGGTCAGAGAATTGGGCGTTGATGAATGTTGATGAGACATTAAGACTAAGACCCAGGATGTACAAATTGTAAAACTATTGTGGCCACACGTGCACACAATATCCCAGTTGCACAATCAATTTTTTAGTTTAGTGTACGAGTTCGGTGAGTGTGCTGGTTGGCCGTTGTTTCGTGATTGGCGTTGGTCATCGTTTTTGCACAGACTGCTCCTTTTGGTCGAAGAGTAATTACTGTCACGGTATGTGAGTTGCCAGTCTTGTTGCATTCCAGGTCAAGATCGATGAGCCAATCATATTCTTGAAGACGGCCAGGGACAGAGAGAACGTGCAGCAAAAGGAAAGTGTGTTGACATGTCCCTGCCATCTTTGCTTTGTTGCACGCTTGCACAGCTGTATCCCTGGATTCATGAAAGATAGGTGTTGTCACCGGAGAGAACCGTTCGAAGTTCCTACGTTCCAGTCTCATGATCCAGTTTCCCTAAAGATCTAGGAACCAAATCATTAGCGCGAGCTATCCTGCGTCCAGTCGGTAGTAGCTACATGTAATTAGCTACTACCTCCGGGGAGCGGGCTTAAACAAGAAAAAACATAACAAATTCAATCAAAACAAGTTCCGGTCTGTGTGTCTTGAAGGTTTTCTTCGGCCTTCACCCCCGCACCGAGCTGCGTTGCTGTTGAGGCCATGTCCAAGCTGGATGAGGCCCTCAAGGCAAAGGGGAGGTGTTCGGATGCACCGTGGATTGCATTGATGGTCGGTTCGCCCCCGAAATGGGATAGGAAAAAGTGGCAGACTGACTATGAAGATTCCCCAGTCAGCTGTATTCCTCAATATTCCTCAGTACCTGCTGCCATGATAGGTTGAGATCGCTAACATTCCTTTGCTGTAAAGCCCCATTGTGTTACACATATATATATATATATGAGCTATGGTCAAAACATGAATGTTTTTAACCCCAATGTTGTATATGATCATAAGTATGCGACGAACTCACAGCGCTGGAAAACGATATGGTCCAATTCAAAACCGATAACGCAAGACGCAGAGTTGGAAAATAAGAGTTTGGCTTAGATTGTGGGAGTCGAGATCCCGAAAAATCCTTCAGAATGGGGTTATTCTGTAGGATCCTCTCTAGAAACACTTCTAGTTTGGTGGAGTGCATTGGCGGAGTGCATGGGGAGTCCCCGAGAGGTAATTTGTGGATGTGCTGATCTTTTGTTAGACCAATTCTCTGCAACGCGTGAAAAGAGACACTTATGGTTGTGTTTACATATACACATATATATTATATATTAAAAATAAAAATATATCATTGTATATCCACCATCACTAGGCTGCCATCATGTTTGCGCGGCGTCACCCAAAAACTCACGCCTCATGGCAGTGCAGACTTGCCGTTCACCAAAGAGCCTTGACACCTCGCTGCCAGATCGTGTCATGACGCCTTGAGATATAGCTGCGGTTTGGCTACAAGCCTGCCAGTGCAAGAGTTGACTGAAGCAGAAGCATCCAAACACACGCAATTTATGAGCAATCGCAGAAATCGGCAAAAGACGTGCTCAAGTAGTAAGGAGCAAAACAAGATGATGAGATCATTCATGCAAGATGCTTCTACTCAAACGAGATCTAACATTTCATCTAAGCTGAACGTCGTTAAATAGGCATACGCTACAATTCGCGGATATTCATGAACAATTAAGAATCGACAAACAAGCCACACATACTTCAAAGGCGCTTGCCAGATGGAGATTTTCTATGGGTCCAAATCCTGCTTGCCACATGCACTTCTGCAAAAGTGCAGCCTTCCTTTTGACACGACTAAGTGAGAGTAAGTGTGGTGATGCTGCTATTGAAAACCATTTGCACTGCAAATGTTTGAAGTTAGGGCGCTCATAAGTGTTTTTCCAAGACAAATTGGCCTGTTGGACAAACCTGCACTTTGGTACAATACATGTGCTCTTCAAGCTCTTCTGGAGTTTTTGTTTGGATGCCTTTGCTCAACTCAATGTAGTTTCCTTCGTTTCGCCTGCCGGTAGAATCGCAAAGGTATGGTTTCCAAATTCGATCTTCTGTGCTGCGGGGGTAGCCACCTTGTCAAACTGTAGTAGAGGTTATTACCTTCTTTGGACTATGCAGCAGTTTGGCCGCACCCGAATCTGCACGCATCTTCTCATTTTTCTGAGACCTTTGCGGTGAAAAGATTGCAGATGTCAGTGGACAGAGAGTTTTGTCGGGAAGATACACACCAGTGAGATGAGAGCATTTTTGTTTCCTTGTATTTTCCTCAGTTGTGGAGATTGTGAGATGGGCGCTTTCATGCTGTTCTGATCAGGGATCTTCAATGATTTGAACATTTGAACATTATATATATATATATATATCGCTCAAGGACTGTTTCATCGATCCATTGTGCAGGATCAGTTGGACTGTTTGTGGTCGTCCCTCAAGCACGCTGGAGCTTTTTGGTTCAGAATGTTCAGTATTGTAGAAGCTCATCGTGCTCTGAAATTAGACACTCAAGCTCAAAAGTTGCAAGGAAGATGACCCACAACAAGCGCAATAATCAGAGAAGAGAAGGTATATATTTATATAGTACTTTTAAGCACGAGCTACATTTCTTCTCCAAGCGAGGGACCATAAGCACCATCTACTTTCTCTGCCTGAGTGCCATCGCGTTTTCTCAGTATTTAAGGCCCACTGGGCCGCCCTGGGCCTCTAAATGCTTTTGACTAGTAGCGATGCACTTGTTACTACTGTAGTACAGAGCTTCTTGCTACTATACTAGTAGTAAGGCACCTTGGTACTAGTAATGCTTTTGACTTGAGCCATGAAGCTGGCCATGAGAAGCCTTCCGCGCCTGGCCCCGAGGCTGTGGATGAGATTTACATAATCGAACCCATAAGGTCACTTGAATTGCCAGATCCAGCCGGACTCAGCATACGTTGTTTGTGTTCTAAATGCTCAAATTTATTGTGCAATCTTCACATTTCTATTGTTTTTCTACTGACTTTCTCATGAAGTTCATTTTTCCGAGAGTCCTTGCCAACCTTACCTCTTTTTTAAAGTGTCCACAGAAAGGCAGCAAGGGAGATTTGTGGGACATTTGATTGGCATTGCTTAGCGACTCTTGGTTGGAGTCCATGGCATTGCCGGGAATGAAGAGCTCAGCTTCAGCTATCCTTTGCTGCTTGTGAGGACCTTTGAAGCCTCCTCTGGAATGCCTTGGCTGGCGCTGGTGCCGGTGGCAGCTTGCTCAGCGTCTGTCTCGATGCTTCTTTGCGATGAAGGTTGGGAGGGCCAATGAAAGGAATGGCATACCTGCTCACGTCGTACTGCAAACAGTTTGTTAGTGCAGTTCTCCTCGACATGGTAGGCCATGGTACTGTGCAGTTTTCTTCAGCGCATGTGGCAACTGCAAAGCGCATGTTTTGAGAAGTTGCCCACTTGAGTGCAGGGGCAGAGGGCCTTTTGCTAGGGATTCTGTGTTGGATCAAGATAAAGAAACTCTCCTTCACCCTGGAGCCAAATGAATGACATTCATCATGATCATCGCAATTCATGTTGCTCCCTTTCACTTTCGCAGGGTCTGCCACAACAAGCGGCCAGCCAAGAGCCCCGATGGGCCGGTGGCGCTTGGATTCTTCACAGAGCGAGCTACTTTGAACGAGCAAACAAGTTCAGCTGAGGTCAAACTCCAACGATACTCAAGCCGTTTCGTACAAGCTGGGAAGGCCGTGTCCATACATACGACCTTCACCGAGTAGGATGGGCTCAATAGCTCAATTTTGTGCGTTGTCCAAAGAAGGACTGGCGCATGCAACCAGCAATGCATGTAAATTGTAAATCATATTGCTTAACTACATATTGTCCAACAAAGAATACGATGGACAGTCAAGCCAAGAGTGTGAAGGGGTAAGAACTCCCATTCTCGGTTTTCTTTGCTCAGCTTTTATTTGGCCCCATTATCTGGCCGCCTTTGGATTACGGATCAATAAAACACTTTCGGATTGCCTTGTTTTGCACCGTTTACAGATTAGAACTCAGAGCCACCATTGTGTGATTATTGTGATATGGGGATGCAGGATTAGAACTTCGGGCAGACCCTTGTTTGTTGGTGGCTCTCCTGCATAGTAGGTGGCTTGTGATTTTGGCCAACTGCAGATCCAAACGCACTGAAAATGCAACACCTCCAACTCAGTGGCTTGGAATTGGTTGCTTGCAAATCGGGGTTGTGTCCTTGAGGGTGGCTGGTTGTGTGTGTGGATGCTTCCGCTTGGAACTTCTCACCCTGATTGAGTGAGTGTTTCTTTGTTTCTGGTTCTGCTTGATGACGACTTGTCTCTAAGCCTGGGGTTTGACTCGGGTTACTGTAATTACAGATACTACTGTATAGCAAGGTTTATGGCTTATGCCGGCTTACGGATTGTAAGTAAGGAATAGTGAGGATACGTTTTCTTTTAGTTTGTTTGTTTTTCAGATTGGCAGGTTTACAGATTAGTTTTGTGGTGCGCTCATTTTGATGAGCCCAGTTAAAGGCAGCAGGCAGGTTTGTTCACAACCTCTCACGACCAAGGTCGATGCGGCCATATTTGATGGGTTTGGGCTTGCCTGGCTTTGTGGCCGGGACCGCGTTTGGGCAATTTACAGAGCCGTTGCCTGTGGTTGATATTTGGCTGCCAGCCGGCTGGTTGTATTGTTGTGCCTGGTGCTTTGGATAGGGCTAGCCAAAGAGTCCCTTTCTTTTTTGCTAAAACATAGTGCTGGGAAATGCGTCCAGTTAAAACTTCCCAGGTGTGTAGCCTCTTCAAAGGCAGGAAACGCCCTGGGATGGACTTTCGCCTTGGTACATCGGTCCAGGATCATTGACCGCATCCCTGTGGATCTCAACATCAGCGTCTCGTTCATAACTCGACAGTTCTTTGAAGCAGAGGTCTTTTGTAGAAGACCTGCTATAATAGATCATTAGATCATGCATGCTGATGTTATTGTGTTGAATCCTTTGAACGATTTTGCCTTGGGCATGTGGTGGCAACTGTAGACCTTTGCGTTTCCACACCAACAACTCAGTGGACTCAAGGAATTTTTGGATGCAGTTGCAAGGACATCTACACTCTACACAACATACACAGACACAGTCATAAGGGGGATCCATTAGTCGGAGAGTTGTGGGTTTGTGTTTTAAAGGACATCCACGACAATCCCTCCTGAAATAGCAGCAACTACCAGGCATAGTGCACAGGGGCCAAGCTGTCTTTTGGGCAGTCCTTATCGAGCTGAGGGGCTTCATAGCAACCCTGGACCCCTCTGATTCAATATGTTGAATTGGATGTCCAGCCTGCCGATTCCAAGGTGTAGAGGAGGGTGTTTTGACGGTGAAGGACAAGCTGCTTAGCGAACATTGGGATGAGATGGATTCGAGGAATCATCAAACCCAAGAAACAGATAGAGATAGAAGCTCCATAGAGTCAAGAAGTCGATTCGGCCTGGAAAATGGGACAATTGCTTATTCTTTATGGCTTGCTTGCAAGCGTGTGATTCGCTTTAGCCAGAAGCAGTTTGTGCAGGAATACACGGCGATACTTTGTTTAACAATGTTTAGCAAGTGTGTGATAGAGTCCAGCGTATCATCGAACCTGGATCATTATATGTGTCATTTAAGGATATCTAATATGTCTAGTATGGTCAATAATGATTGTTAGCTTGGTCATTGCTTTCCTCAAATCTCGATGGTAGACGTCCAAGAATAATACCGAGACCAAAGAACAATACTTTGCATGTTCGAACGCCTGAAGAACCATGGATCATCATGGATCCCTATTTTGTTTGACCACAGCTCACGTACCCGTATGATCCAGTTTGACCAAAGTCCAGGATTCTCCGCTCGGGGGAAGTGACATCTCATGACCAAGGACCTTCTTTGGCGAAAACTGCACAGTGATCACTCTTGGCGGCGCAGAGGTTGAGCGACTCACACACTCCAAAAGGACTATTAAGCAAGCTATGATAATGAATGACATGAGTCATGAGCATGGTATATCATGAACACGGCAAGAACACTGAACTTGGGTGAAAGGTGCGATTATTTGTGCGTGGTAAGCTTTGGGAAGAAGTCCATGATGACTTTCCAGGTAAAGATGTGAATTGGAACCGGTCCGAAACATGCCTTTCCAAGGGAATCTGAGTTGGTGAGGCGAGAGACGCGCAACAAGCGGAAGAAGTTCATGCTCTCCGCCTTCGAAGATCTCTCCAATGGATCTCCCCAGCTCACAGTGCAATGTCGTCTCTTCCAGCGTGGCGATGGCTGGCGCTCGCTCCAGAGCTCCACGACGGAAGTGGGTTGATCTTAAATGCGAAAAGCAACATTTGTCCAAAGACAGTTGCATTTTCCCGAGCCAAGCTTATACAAGTACATTGTTGTTGGGCTTTTACTTCCTTGTACCGCGGTTTCAACCCTTTGTCTCAGGCTTCAAGGTGCAGGAGGCCTGCGGCCTGGCGGGGCGGGGTGAGATTTAATCCAACTGCTCAGAAGCAGCCCCGACATTCAAAGTTAAAAGATATAAATATATAATAATATATATATTTATTTCTATCCTGAGGCAGCTGATTTCAAGAAATTGACACGCAACACAATATCCATTCATATATTCAAGTCGACGTGGCCTTCTTGTTTTTTCTTTGTTAAGGCTAAGGTGTTCAATTTTCTTAAGATTTGCGTTGCAATCGTGTCCGGCGTCTACTTCATCCCTATTTGGTAGCCCACCAAGCTTGCCCCTTGATTCACCTACCTGCAGGGGACATTGCAAGAAAGCCTCTTGGATGCAAAGTTCGATGAAAGAGAGCACAGCTGAGCACCACACTAGTTCCTTCCAGTGGATCCCAGCCTAGCACCCACCAATCTACTTGGACCGCACCCGAGCGATTGAACATCTCCCATGCTGCTCTTGTATCTCGTTCTTAGTTCACGCAAGAGCCAAGAAGATGAAGCGAAGATGAAACTTACCAGGCTATACCAGGCTCTATATTTAACTTTTGGATACTTTTGGTAGTATAATATGGTTTTAATTTTAATACATTTTAATCGCAGTGTGATTAAACAATGACAACTCATGCGAAGATCACCCTTTCTACACCCCACATGTCGCTATTCTTTGGACAAATTAATTGTTATTGCTTTGCTTTGCGTGCGTGATTTCTTTCACACACACACACACTGGAACGTGGATGATTTTGCAAATCATGTAGAATGAGCATGAATGGCAGCTCGAGGATTCGACTGGAACCATTCTTATCCATTCTTTAGCTTTATAGCTGGTTGTGGGGGGTGACATTCTTAATACGGGGGTTCATGCTGTTACTGGACCTTTTAGAGAGTTTGCTTCCAGCGGTTCTGTTCTTTATGTACCCTGAACGCAGGCGTGTCTAAAAGAATCAAAAGGCTTTGGGTGTGAAGTCGATTTTTTTTCAGGGGCCCATGTGTATATTGTATACATAGAGAGAGAGAGAGAGCGCAGTGAATGATGCTTTTGAATGGCACCTGTTGCAGTTTCTAGCGTGCTATAAATTTGCTGTATGTGTTTTTGCCTTGTCGATCTTGTCCCTATAATTCATGGCAATCTTTCAAGCCATGTGAAGAAATTGCACCCATTCATCAGTGCTTGTGGAGCTAACCTTTGCTGCAATCAGACAGGGCTGTGCCAGATATTCTGCAACAACTATATAGTTGTTAAAGGTTGGGTTCGGTTTGTACAAAAACACTTTACCTTGTTTGCTCAAGAAGGATTGCTAAAGAGGTTGGGCGTAGTTTGCTCTACAGAGAGTCAAACATTGTTGATATAGTTTCCCGCAAGCTTTGAGGGGAACAAGCTGAAGCTCCTGGCTTGAACTGGTACTCGGTGCAGCTGCATGCTGGAGCACAATAGAACCTCACAACGGAAAGCATGTGATCAAGGTTTTTTGAAAGTGCTCCGGTCTTTCTGGGATGTACCCATGCTCCCCTTGGTTCGACTCACATTCCTTGGCTGCAAGAGTTGATACGTCATGACACCGGGACACCAATCAAAAGATGCAAGCAGATCATTGAAGTGCCGACTTGCTTTGTTAGTTCGTTGAACTGCCATACTATTTTGTGTTCCCACTATATGAAGATTGGCTTTAGACTTTCCAATCATCACATTCAAAGATGGCACCAAATCCAATGTGCTCTTGTTGAACTCAGGATATATCCTGAAGCGGCCGGACTCTGATGACATAGTGGTGACACGGGTGTTCAAAGATTTGAACTCTCCGAAGATCCCCAAGGGTGAGCAGGACTGAGAAACTCTGATGATGCGCTGATCCTCATACACCAGTTGCCAAATATGCAATATTTCATAGGAACAGCAGAGGATGCGCAAGCAACCAGTACACTCAGTACTGTATAGCGACATTATGATATCACACGTGCGTGCACCTTACATGATACTGACACAGTCACGAGGGAGGATGCATGAAGGAGCACAGTGTCAGTGTAGTCCGCTTGCTATCAGGATTTCTCGTATCGTTTTGCAGGACCTTTGCCAACACACATTTGGAAGCTACCGATTGCTCACGGGAGCCGCTTGGATGCTCTACTTGTACTCGTGTTAAGTCGGTTGTTCTTGTGTAAAGTCGTTCGGGTGCTGCCTTTAAGACCATATGAACCATAGGTTGACAAGCTACCATTTGCTGGATTGCATTAAGAGCAATAATAGGTTTATTTGGAGAATCAAGAAGAGAACAGAGAACCAACACTTCTACAACATGCTTTGCCTGTTGAGGGGTTGCTCAATGGTTTGGAATTAGGAACTGGGTAGGTGGGTTGGAACTGACATAGGTGGAATTGTGTTTTGTCATTTTGGAGATTGGCCTGGGAACAAACAAGTATATAGCTGCTTTGTTCCTTTCGAGGGAGGTTCAATATCACTGCCAAGAGATCAACGGCACCAACATCAGCATTGGCAGTGATGATGACAGTTGTGTCAGGGCAGTTACAGTAAAGGTACAATGACGGTGAACATAACAATCCTTGTCAGAACTCCGACACACCGTGACCGAGGTGGGTATATTTGCAGTGCTGGCGTCAGCATCCATTTGCTTCGTCCTTACCCGCTCAGAATGAATCTGGAAAAAGTGCTGCAGGTTTCTGAGTGAGTTCATGGAAAGGACGACGTAAAATGCATCCAGATTTCACAAATGCTGCCTGACGTATCTAGGTGATCAAACCAGCAGTGTTGAACATGCTTCGCTAGCTACAGAACATGTTTCTAAAGCACTTGGGTTCACGTTGGCATCATGGATAAACCTTTTAAGACTAAGAACATCAGACTGGAGAAGTGTAGCAAAGTTCCCGTTCTCGTCTAGAAAATACTGAATACTTTGTAGCCAAACATCGACAGCCACTAGCGTCCTTGCTCCTAGTCGTAAGGCCAGGAGCCCCCAGTAGCTTCTTGTTCCTAGTAATTCTAATTACTAAGTCTTGTTTCTACTAGCAAACATTGTTACTACTAGTAAGGCACTTGTTACTAGAAGCGATGCACTTGTTCCTAGTAGCGAACATTGTTTACTAAGAAGAAGGCTTTTTGAAGGTCTGGAATGGTGCACGCTCATTGCACTTAGAGCAAGGACGTTTCACATGTCGATTGTTTATCGCTCGTATAAGTCGTGACAATAGTTTCAGCTTTTTTGCTCCCTCCCAAGCTTCAATTGTAACTGACAAAGCACTGCCAATGTTTGTTGTCCTCCAAGCAGCTAGGGCTTGAGCCACTTGAGTGTTAGCATACATGTCATGTCCAAAAAGCACAATTTGGACAGCTGAGCAAGATTTGTCTATGAACGATCCAGACAAGAGGTTGTGCTTCCCCAAATACTGTTCTATGGGGTTTGCAGAGCATCGTTCCAACAGACACTACATGTTTGATTAGCCTTCAAAGAGAAGAATCACAAAGCCTGCAAATAATCACAACACAAGTATCGTACGTTGAAGTACTCACAAGATCTTCTAAGTGGAGCATGCCTCCTCCTGGCGACGGCTGACGAGGTGGTTGGAGGGGATCTTGTGTGTGTGTGCACGCGCTGTCTTACGCGCAATTATTGGTCTTGCCCTCCTTGGTCGAGGGTAGCTGAGGAGAGAAACTTTTGGGGTAAGGGGAGCTTCTTTGGGCATTTGGTACTGAGAATTTGGTACTGAGAACCTTAACAATTAAAGTCTTCGCTTTCACGTTGTTAAGGCCAGGCAGCTAGTAACTGCAAGCAACGTCGACTGAGAGTTCTTGGAATTGGAACCAAGTTGCCCTACCAGGGAACGTTGCCAAATCTTTGAAGAAACATCGGCCAACCTGATTGAAAAACCTTACCCCCTTGTCTCGATAAAGTTGGACCAGGTTAGTATAGCTGTCCAATGAGTCAGCCTCCCCTAGGTATTTCTCAAGGTGGTGCGGTCCAACGCATGGTTCTCACAAAGGGACCTATCAGGACTCCAGAATTACAGATGGATTGAATCATACAGGAACATGCGGTCTGAAGAACAGACAAGAGGATGATCGATTTACTGTATCGATTTGCTTGTCCAGCATGTGGCGCACAAACGTACACAGCAGCAATTGAGTGCCAGGTTTCCTCGTGGCTATGGCACGGAGGATGAGCATTGGTTTGCTTGTTCGCTGTGCCAACTTGGATTGAAACCGACATGTCACCCGATGTTGTGTAGTATCTCAACGTTCAGGTTTGCTGGGCCAATTCCATTCAAGTACTCAAGTACAGTGATTCATTCATCGTAAATGAATCTCCATGCCAAGACCCACGGCAGCAGGAATTCCGATTCAGAAACCCAAAATCCGCGATTCAGCAACCAACATGGCGCGATTCAAAAACCAAAACCGCGATTCAGAAACCAAAAATCTGCGATTCAGAAACTAAATTTCCGCGCTTCAGAAACTACAATTCCGCGATTCAGAAACCAACATTCCGCGATTCAGCAACCAAAAACAACGATTCAGCAACCAAATGCACAGTAGGTTAGGTGGGGTGGTGGTATGGGGCTGGGGTAATAACGTTCCTGGGAGACGGCAGCTGGGTACTGAATCACAGTAGGTTGGGTGGGGTGGTGGGATGGGGCTGGGGCAATAACGTTCCTGGGAGATGGCATCCATCCCAGCTGCATCACAGCAGGTTGGGTGGGGGGCTGGGCTAATGACGTTTGTGGGAGATGGCAGCTGGGTACTGAATCAAGCTGGGTACTGCATCACAGTAGGTTGGGTGGGGTGGTGGGATGGGGCTGGGCTGATGACATTCCTGGGAGATGGCACTTGGGTACTGCATTACAGTAGGTTGGGTGGGGTGGTGGATGGGGCTGGGCTGATGACGTTCCTGGGAGATGGCACCCGGGTACTGTCACAGACGTAGTGACCGTGCAAAACAAGGGCAGTCGCGTTCTGAATCACAGCTTGGTTTTGTTGTTGGGCTTGGTTTTCGAATGTTCGTTTTGGTTTCCGAATAGTCTTTGGTTTCCGAATAATGGTTGGTTTCCGAATAATGTTTGGTTTCCGAATAATCGTTTTTTCCGAATCATCGTTTTGGTTTCCGAATCATGGTTCCTTGGTTTCCGAATAACCGCAACCACGGCAGCAGCCAAGACCTCGTGTATCGTCATCCAGTCCGCTCCCCCAGTCACAACCAGGAGCGTGGTCATTGACATTGGTTCAGGATGTACAAAGATGGGGTTTGCTGGAAATGTGGTCCGAGACCAAGGTGATGGATGCACTGACCAACTCAGAGAGATGATTTTAGATATCTTAGATGTGCAGTCGTTGCAAAAGAAAGGTGAAAACAACATTTTTCAGACAACTCGATCACCTGTTTTTCATCGAAGCGTCAGAAAGAAAACGGTGTTTTTTCTGAGCTGAGGAACCCACGTTCATGATCCCCACAGTGGTGGCAAATGCCACCAGGAAGCAAACGGGAAGCAGGGCACTCAAGAGGGACTCCGTGCCTCCGTGTTCGGCCTCTTACTAATGACGATGTTTTTGTTATGTTTTGTTACTAGTAGCTTCTTGTTACTAGTAGCGATGCACGGGTTCCTACTAGCGATGCGTTTGTGCTAATTAGTAGCGATGCCTCCAAGACTTAGAGCCATCAAGTTCATGGGGCCAACATGATGGATTCCAGGCAAACTTTGTCAATTTACATCAATGTTCAGCGTAGAATAAACAGTGTATTGTCCAAAGGCTTCACGCATGTGTTTTGCATTTGTATAGATTTGCATAGCTCACAGTCTAGACTAGCAATCGATTGACAAAGCTTGCAAAACAAACACACAACACGGCCCAGTTTCTATCCCGTTTCTTCTGTAGGTCGCATGGGTCCACATTATCCAACTGGATACATCAACAACCATAACATTCCGCAGCAAGAAGTTCTTTGGAAGGGCCCTGTTCTTGTTGGGTGCTAAACATGCTGCAGCTTGCAACTCACTTGTGACTTGCGAACAAACACACTTTGTCTATCTTGTTTTTCTTCTCTCATTTTTCTCATTGAATGAGTAATGAATGGATGTCATATTTTTTTTTTTGTGAAGAATTCGTGTGTAGGTCTCAAGTCGCTGCGGTTAGTTTGCAGCTTTGCTGCGCAGAGCGATCATGTAAACCAAAAACCAATGTTTTCCTGTGCTTCAGGCAATTTCTTTGTTTCAGGAATTGGTCAGGCAGCATCCTGAACTGGTTGTGCCCGGAGCAGCGCTTGCAAACACAAACTTGCCTGCCCACCCCCTGGGTGCAGCCCTCCTGGCCTCCAAGCAGACGCCACGGGCCTTTGAGTTGCCTGGATCCGGTCGGCCGGCTGACCGGCCGACCGGATCCGGTGCTAAGTTGTCGCCAACACTGAGGTGTGCATTTGAGCCAAAGTCCCTCCTCCCAGGGCCTGGCAGATGCCGACTTCTACATTGGGGACGAGGTGCAAAGCATTGCTAAGCCAAACCCACCCAATCGCAAGTTCATCCCTGGCGGCTTCATTACACATACTACAGCATCACACTCATCTATGGTTTGCTGTTTCAGGGTTCTCACTTTGTCTTGAAAACTTGTGCAAGTCCTCTTGCTCGCTGTCACTAATTCAAGTGCGAAGCGGGTGAAGATATATAGCAAGAATCATGACAGGGTTACAGGTTGCACTTCCTTTCGAATAGTGTCAGTTGAGAATTCCTCCAATTCTAGAAGCACCACGCAGGATGTAGATGGATGTAGTAGTCCCCCGACGCTCGTTTCGTCCATGATCAGGCATATGCCCGGAAGGCGCAGTAGCTCTCGTTCGCTTGACGCGCTCGGAAATAAGAAAAGGATATATAAAACATTCACATTTAGCTATTGCGCAATGTTTCCTTCGCTATTGCTCACAGGAAAGCAATATATAAGGACAGCCTTGAGAGCTGTTTGGACTTAGAGGCCTAGTATGATTGCAGGGAGTGAAGTTCTAAGACTATTCAATATATAAACGACAGCTCAACTCCTTGAGTCAATTAAGATTCGAGCTCATCTGACCTTGCATAAGACATATACAGGCATGAAGGGTTCAGTGTAAACCTGTGGACCCGATTTTGATGTTCATCACTTACATTCAATTCTTACTATGTGTTATTTTGCTCAGTGTTCAGCTGGAATGTGGATCCTCGCCAGGACTCCCCAAATTATCTTCTCTCATCGCCGGTCTCCAAGGGAAGGCCAGTGCACCGCATCGAGGGCGTCAAAGTGATCCCGAGGGCATCGGTTCTCTATTGCAGGATTTGCAGCCGCTGAGACTCACGCAGGCTTTGAAGAACACAATCATCACAAACGGCCTTTTCTTGCAGGTTTTGAAGATTGTTGCACGCACTGCTGCGGGACTAGCACCAAGCAATTGAATATATGCCAGTTAAGAGAACACACCAGTTTTTGCAAGCAGAATCTTTTGTGCCCGAACTTGCTCCTGGCTTCAGGATTGAGAACTGGGATGACATGGAGCGTTTCTTGCAGCAGGCATCATTCAGCCAGACATGTGTGGTTTACGTCCTGAAATCCAGAAGTTTAACATCACCAAGTAGGTCATGAAGTTTATCACGTTTTACATTGCCTTGGGTTTGATTTGGAATGTTCATTCCT